AGCCGTCATCTGAGGTTGACGACAGAGAAGGCCACGCCTCCTGGTCCCTTATTAGGCATTATCCCCTCCTCCCAGAGCTGCGTTAACGCGGTTTGCTCATAACTTGTTCTTGTAACGTATCTAGATCTATTCACACAACAGATACGTTACACATTATATTGGTCAAGTGTTACACTCATGTGATACTTAACATTACAACTAAAACAGACTTTATTTCGATGTAATGATCACTTGTGATCAAATATATGCACCTATCTAAAATGTTCACATAACCAAGTCGATTTTATCTGGGAAAATAATGCATCAAAACAGAAATTTGACCAAAGTGAACATACATACATACGTTACATAATTTCCAAGTGGTGTGATCCTTTATCCTTACATATCCCACCCTTTTCTTTCATAGCTTTTCACTAATTAATCCTTTAAATCCATTTATAGTAGTTAAATTTATTTGAACATCTACGTATACAAATTAACTATTATTATATATGCATTCATGCCTTTGGATTTCCTAAGATTTGAAGATTTTCCCCTTGAACACTAATCCAGTTGATGCAAATACAGTTTTTAAAAGGTCTAATTACATTGTTCCCATCAAACTCACACGAAACGAAACTAGAATCTAGAGTATCTTTGTTAGAAGCTACGATTATAGAACCGTTTTACAACGTATCTGTTTATGACGAAAACTGTTTACGTCAGCAAAATGAAATTCACTTGGTATTCGCTTTAAATTTACACATTGTACAACAATGTTATACTTAAGTTTTATCGTGTAAGCTATAAAAAATTCCCATGACAATGAGTTCAGTTTTATTAGACAAATTTTAACGGAAAAACCACGAAAACCAAGCTTCAGATATGCTTACAGGAATTAATTCGATGGATTTATATGCGATATAAAATACCTTTAGTCAATATACCAAGATGTTTTAAACTTGTATTCACCGATAATAAATGCCTGTATTATATGGGTGATTTGTTTAGTAACGTATCTGGCAAGACATTTTGCGTCCGTAGATAATCGCCAAAAATTAAAGGGGATAATGTTAGTGCAGGCATATTTGTCACATTAGTGAGAGTTTCAGTTACATGTAATACTTATGCAATGTTGTTGTGAAGTCATACATCGAGTACACTTTGAACAGTAGCTGGAGTCCGCAAAAGTAGCAGTTGATCTTTTCAACATTTATGAGGTCATAACAATATTGGCTTCCTGGACATATTCCATTGGTAAATATGTCTAAAAGGCCAATATTATGACCTCATGAATCCTGAAATTCTTAAAAAGTTATTTCTTATATTTACATNTAATACCAGGTGAGCGATGCAGGCCCATTGGGCCTCTTGTTAAGTGCTTTGAATTTTCCGATGCGAGCATATACATGGGGAACAGCGTGTTTTCGTGGGAAAATGTCAAACTTTCGCTAGGGTTCCTAGCAACAGCATGACAATAAAAACAAACAAAAAATAGTTCCATTTTCAAAATTTAATTTGTATAATTTAGGCAAGTATATTATCATCAAGTACTTTACACATCTTATTTTAACTTTAAAATCAAACCAATAATGTTTAATGTTAATCATATTCGCATAACAAAACTACATCGAGGGCTGTTTCACGACGGATGTCTACCAACTACGCCCTGTGCTACGCCATTGTAGTGTATCAATACGCAGTGATGAGGTCACATATGTTATGTAACAAGAGGCCCAGAGGGCCTGTATCGCCCACCTGAATAGTTAAGCAGTCATAGCAAAATATTCTCATTGAATATTATACTGTACTACAAATGTTTCACTCACAAACTTTGTCCGCTCCATCTGTTGAAACTACCAGCCAAATATTATTATATGATTCTATGCTTTTTGGTTCTTCTTAAGAAGTTGTTTGAACTGTTTGACATTTTTTTCTTTTTCTTGTGACGTTATAAGTAGGTCAAGGTCATTTTCCTTCTCAAACTTTGTTGGCTCTATCCGTAGAAGCTACCAGTCAAATCTTATGAATCCATTCCTTTCGGTTCTTCAGAAAAAATCGTTTGAAATGTTGTTGAACTCTGTGACCTTTAAAGTAGGTTGAGGTCATTTTCATTTGCAAACTTTGGTGAGCTCTATCCCGAAAAGCCACCAGCAAAATATTATGATTCTATGCCTTTCGATTATTCTTCAGAAGTCGTTTGATGTTTTTGACATATTTGACACCTGTGACCTTGAAAGTAGGTCAAGGTCATTTTCATTCTCAAACTTTGTTGGGCTCTATCCCAGGAAGCCACCAGCAAAATATGAAGATTCTATACCTTTTAGTTCTTCAGGAGAAGTCTTTTGAAGCATTTGACATATTTGACCGCTGTGACCTTGAAAGTAAAAGTCCTTATCATTCTCAAATTTGGTCGGGCTCTATCCCAGGAAGCCACCAGTCAAACATGAAGATTCTATACTTTTCAGTTCTTCAAAAGAAGACGTTTGAAGTGTTTGACACATTTGACCCATGATACCTTGAAAGTAGGTCAAGGCCATTTTAATTCTTAAAGTTTGTTGGGCTTTATCCCAGGAAGCCACCAGCCAAATTTGAAGATTCTATACTTTTCAGTTCTTCAGAAGAATTTGTTTAAATTTGTTGAGAGAAGACACCGGACGACGCCGGATGCCACACCATGACATAAGCTCGCTTGCCCTTCGGGCAGGTGAGCTAATAAATCTGAACACAAATATACCAATGTATAAGCTATCAACTGTTTACATTTTTTATATTTTATGGTCAAATGACTCAATAATATGTGGAAACATAATGGAAATGAAATAAACAAAATATAAAATCAATAAACTTGTTCAGAGTGTAAAATATTCTGCAGATCCAGTCCGAGATTCAAACCTTGGACTTGTTATACAAATGCTGAAACTGATTCAGCTACCAAGACAACAGAAGTGCTACCAGTTACATCAAACAGGTGTTAACTCATTCAACCCTGAAGACACATTTGAACTCTTCCAATTCAAAGGTTTGAATAGTCCCCTATGTGACATATATTATTACAGGAAGAGCTGATACAAATCTCATATTTTACAAATGAGAAATTTTCCTCCAAAAATTCATTGTTTGTTCTGTCAAAGATCTAAAATATTTTTCTTGCCATCTATTACATGTATATATTACATGTATTTTGTTTAAGCAAGCATGTTTAAAAGCAACTACGCAGAATGTCTGTTGCATTATGAAAATATTCAAAAGCATTCCAAAGGTAATACATGTACATCAACAAACAATGGTTTAACTGATCACTTGTTTATATATTCCGTCTTTTCGTATTGCAAGAGTTATCTGCTCTTGTGAGCAGGTATTGATTGTTACGTCATTTGTTTGTGCGAGTAACGTCATCAAGTTTTGAAAAAACAATGTAATTTTCTCACACAAACCAATGACATAACAATCAATACCTGCTCACAAGAGAAGATAACTCTGCAATACGCAAAGACGGAATATGATACAGGAAGTAAAACAACATATAACCATGTATATTCTTATAAGACACTGATGGCAGATTGGGAACATATTGACTTCACAATGTGTCATGAGGCTTGCAGCAGTTTTGAGGACAAGTAATGTTTTGTAGAAAGGATCATATAGCACAACCAGTTTTAAAGAGTTTAAATGTGGCATCTCAATGACTAGTGTGGTATGAACTATATCACCTTCATCAAACAAATGACATCTGGTCGGGCTACATCAACTTTTCTATAATCTATCCTTACCAACCTGAACAAAAAGTTTAGATTTTTTTTTTTATACTAAGTAATATAAGCTAACAGGATTAATTATTTAACCATATGCTCTGGCTGCTAAAATAATGCCTGTTAACTATCAGATTTTTTTTACATTGTTACTTTGAATATATTGAAATAACAAGGAAAAATACTCCCTCTGCCAATACAATGACGTTGTAAAGAATAATACTCCTCGTAACCCGGCTTGTAATACAATGTCACAGTGGACAATACTCTTAGTATCATTCCAGTAACATCACATGGAACAATAACCCGGCTCGTAATACAATGTCACAGTGGATAATACTCTCAGTATCAATACAATAACATCACAGGGAACAATAACCCGGCTTGTAATACAATGGCACAGTGGACAATCCTCTCAGTATCAATACAATACTATCACAGGGAACAATAACCCAGCTTATAATACAATGTCACAGTGGACAATACTCTCAGTATCAATACAATACCATCACAGGGAACAATAACCCGGCTTGTAATACAATGTCACAGTGGACAATACTCTCAGTATCAATACAATACTATCACAGGGAACAATAACCCAGCTTATAATACAATGTCACAGTGGACAGTAATCTCAGTATCAATACAATGACATCAAAGGGAACAATAACCCCACATCAATAAAATGACATCACATGGAATGTTTCCTATTCACTCACATATATATTTTATCCTACACATCTTTGACTTTCACAAAAAACAACAGATCCAATCCCAATTATAAAGCTAGAATAGAAGCACCGCAAAAATAATAGTGACACCACAATAAATATACACACAATTATCTAAATCTAGTGACCAGGAGCCAGCGACTCAAAGTTAAGCTAGCTTAAATCTGACCTGACTAATCAGACTCTCGTGACTCATGAGTCAAGTCAGTAAAGGTCTAACCACAATGAAATGAAGCTAACCGTACACTTAGAGTCCATCCTAGATACTCGATGGGTTATGCTCACTTTTGCTCTCTGCACCCCTTGAAATATGTCATGACAAAACTGAAGGCTCAGTATGCAGAACATTGTGAATGAGGTGAGAAGACTGTTTGATCCTATGATGTACATCATAAGAATATCTTGGTCACAACAGTAAAATTGACTAGCTTTGAAGTTAAGTGTCGCTCCTCTGTAATCTTCAATTACAGGTATCAGCTTAGTGATTGGTCAGGTTTATTTTTACCCGAGACCAATCAAATAACTAGCTGCATGCCTTCAATTTTGCTATGATATATTCCAGGGGTGCAGAGAGCGGATGTGAGTGTAACCCCTAGAGTATCGAGGATGTCAAGAGTCAAGCCAAACTAAATCTGACAACACTGATCTGAGGCTAGTGACTCAAGAGTTAAGCTAGATTAGATCCACCCAAAATCATGAGAAGCTACTCAAGTCATGCCATCTTAGATGTCACCAAGCTGATCTGAAGCTAGAGATTCAAAATGAAGCAAGCCTAGATATAACCACATTGATCTGAAGCTATTGACTCAGATTCAAGCCAAGATGTGACAGCATGGATCTGAAGCAGCGTTTTTGGCGAGTGTCTGAATCAACGAGATGTGGCATAATTTGTTTGATATCCTTGTCCTCCCCGTTGAGGCTGTTGCTGTCGTATTCGATGTGTGGGCTGCTGAGAACAGCTACACCCTTGCCTACTTGGCACCTAACAATAGCTGCTGGTCGACCCTCAATCTCACTGTACACAGCCAGTACCTCCACGTTCTTGTCCAGTGATATAGCTTTGCTTTGGGTTGTTTTTTCTTTTACGACACTCTCTGATTCATTCTCAATAGGAGATTCACATTTATTTTTCTTATGATCTGTTTTTGATCGTTTCGGATGAGGTTCTATTCCTGACAAATCAGTTTGGACATCACAAAATGCATTTCCTTTCTCTCCTTCTGTTCTGCAAACAGCTAATGTGTGTGTCAAATCTTCTGGTCCAGAATTATCACCACCTTCAGGTCCCGAATCTTTGAGCTCCGAATCCTTTTGGTTACTCTCGACAACCTCACTTTTACTAGACTGGTTTGAGTCCTTATCACAGGACTCCATGCAGCGTTTCTTTAAAACTTGGTCAGAAATACGTTTGACAGATATGAACTGATCTCTGTAGAAGAGAAACATTCCTCCGCCGTTGAAATAGGCTTGGAGTGTGGTAGTCTCCTTGTCAAAGAAGTCCACCTGGGCCGCTCTACTTCCGCTCTCACTGCCGTAATTGTAAGGACCCCAAACTGGTCCCACGCACAAACCTGGAAATCACACAGACACACATGTAGGTGATATTTTCATGGTTTAGAGGGTTCCCGGAAACAAAATTCTAAAATTCATAACACAGTGACATGGTAGGTAAATTGATGCTATCACAATCTGATAAAAAGTATCTGCTACATGGCTCCTCGTAAATTTCATAATAAGCCTGAGTACGAAGTTAATGAAGCCATGTAACAGATGATTTTAACTCATTCACCCCTGAAGACACATCTAAACTCTTCCAATTCAAAAGGTTAGAATAGAAACTTCAGGGGGGAATGAGTTAATCAGATTGATGCTATCAAATTTCACCTGTTCTGTCTTTTAAGTAACTATATCATACACAAATTTTGGCCTTGGCCAGATTAACTACTTGCAAAATTGAACTTAAATCAGTTCAATATTTTTTGAGAAGAAGTCGAAAATTTGAAATGTTTATGGATTGAATATAAACGACAACGAAAGAAAGGCAATCCCAATAGGTCAGATGAGACTTTTTCTCTGGGGAGCAATCCTCGATACTCCGAGGGTTACACTCCCTGAAGCTTTCTGCACCCCTGGAATATGTCATAGCAAAGTTGAAGGCAGGTGGCTAGATATTTGATTGGTCTCAGGTAAAGAACACCTGACCAATCGCTAGGCTGATACCTATCCTTTGAAAATTACAGAGAATTGACACCCGCCTTCAAAGCTAGTCAATTTTACAGTTATGCGGCCGAAAGATTCTTTTGATGAACATCAAAGGATCAAACTAGTCTTCTCTTTCATCAACAGACCTTTGATTTTGCTATGACATATTCCAGGGGTGCTGAGAGCAAAAGTGAGCATAACCTCTGGAGTATGGAGTAGCCCGGTGAGCTTAAAACAGGAAGATCATTCAACATCTACTAACCAGGAATTTGTAAAGAACTTAATAAACACATTTTACTCTAACTGTCTTACTCACCTGGGAAAAATTTAAGGATCCTTTCCCCACAAACTTCCTGGGGTCCATTTTTGTCAAATTCTATGTAGTCACATCCAAAGTAGGATCCCGCACAGATCCCGAGATAGGCTCCTCCCTCAGCCACATACTGCTGAATCTGTAGAGTCCCTTCATCCCCAAGGGCATTGATAAAGCCAAGGTCATACCCTCCACCAATCACATACAAGGCAGCCAATTTTTTCCAGTTTCCTATATTATAGATTCATAAAAGTAGGTCTAATGAAATGGATATCCCACAAATGCAGCAAATATGTATAAATAACCCTTAAAACTGCTTTCAAATTTGAGCCGCACTCAGCTAAAAGCACAGCTGTTCAGTAGTGTTGGGAGACTTCAAAATCTCTGATCAATCATCAGTATTTCTCGAATGATCGATGATTGATTAATGATCGATCACAAAATGAAATGAAAACTAATAGAGAGGTATTCATCAAAATAGGTAAGATTTGGTCTCGACAACTCTTTATAATGTTGAGTGTTTTCATGTTATAGTCAAACCAAGATGGATCATAGAAAATCGTGATTGACTCATCAGTCGGAGGTAAAATGACTGATCATCGATTTAAATGATTAATTGGAACAGCACTACTTTTCAGATATGGCATATTATTATTTTTTCATATTATTCCCGACAAGTGATTGGCCAGGAGTGCATCACGTGTCCACCGATAAAAACCGATATTGACTTGGAGCGCATGATTTTTGTTGAAGGACTGGGTGTTTCTAAAAATAGAATTATGACGTGTCTCCAAACAATACACCGTCCCACATCCGAAGTGTTTTTTTGTGTTGTTTTTGAGAGTGCTTACATTACTGTTTTGTAAAATAATAAAACAATTGTGGCCTTGAAATTCCGGTCAATACCTGTATTTATCGACCCGAGAAAAGATATATTAACCTCGGACTGCATCCTCGGTCAATATATCTTTTCTCAGGTCAATAAATCCAGGTATCGACCTCAGCCAAAGGCTATAATTGAATATTATCAGGACAATCAATATTTCCTGTAGTCTTCTTTATCAACAAACCTGTAGAGCCACACCACCACTTAGTAACTATTAAGTCTATGACATTTCTGCTGTAGAAAAGCAGGTCGTGGTCATCCTGATACCCATTATGCCTCTCATGACCCTGTTTTTTCACATTGAGTATATGTTAAAGTTATTGCAGTAATGATGAACAAAAAAAATCAGATACATCATTAAGGTATATAAAGTCCCAGTAAAGTATAAGGTATCTCCAACAAAGAAGTGTTCCTGTTTGTCCTCCATTTTTCTGACTTTGAGTTGCTTACCCATTTACTATAGCAAAGATATATACTAAACAAGAGGGCTGCAACGATATATATCACGATATTTTAAATACGACATAAATACACAATTTTTATTTTTACGATATTTTCCGTATTTTGTTGTGTCTGAATTAAGTCTACTCTTATCCGTTCCAACATGGTGAGTGACAGCTCCAGCGTAGCATGCACGCCGAAAGACGTGAATTGTGTAAAACTTTAAAGTCATGCCCACTTTGGACCAAGTCTATTTCCTGTTGTAATATTGTAATTAAAAATTTGCAACATATCTTTCACTTTGCTCCAACTGTTCCTATATGTAAAGTGATGCATATTGTATAATCATGACCACAGTATCGTGATACGTATCACATCGTCATGTTAATATATTGAATGTATATTGAAATACATACATTTCTTTTTTAAAATAACATTTACACTATAATGATTCCAACTCCATACCTCTTGATAGTATTTTTGATAGCTTGTCCTCTGAGCCATAGAAAATTATATTTAGTGATACTTTTCATAAATATAACTGGAAAGAATTTAAAATTCTACTAACTAGGTACCTAAAAAGACCTGCAATCTATAAAAGTCTTTGAACAAATACAAAGGAAATGATATATTATAACTGGAAAAATAACTTCTCAAACTGTTTTAGAGCATCAAATTAAAATTTTGAACTCACCTGCAATGGTCTCTTCCGGGGATATATACTTGAAGATGTAGTGCTTTTCATCCAGGTGTCTCTTTAGTGTTTGCACTACAACCTCTGCATTTTCTTCACAGGCTCCCTCCCCGAGGTACACAAACACTGTATTTCTGGTCTCATCAGTCATAGTAATTGTAGGTCCTGTGTGAAGAGAATGCATAACAATATATTAGCAGTGTGGTTAGTGCTAATATATACATGGTAACGGTGAGAGGGTAGAAACAGAAAACTGATGGTAGTGCATAACATAAATCCAAGACTTTTCAAATGTACATACTGTGAATACTGAACATTTCAAGAATATTTACCAGTACAAGCTGGTGTTTGAATAAATATGCATGACACAATTAAATTCACAATAATCTCTGAGGAATTATCATGAAAATAAGTAATTAAAAAAATATGAGTGGCTAACAGTAGGATTTAACATCAACCACCTACAAGCTAGTCCTCCAAGTTCTATTCCAACCCAAACCAACCAAGTACAGCCCTCCATATTCTATTCCCACCCAAACTAATAACAGTTCTCCAGATTCTATCCCCATCCAAACCAAGTACAGTCCTCCAGATTCTCTTCCCATTCAAACCAAGTACAGCCCTCCAGATTCTCTTCCCATCCAAACCAAGTACAGTCCTCCATATTCTCTTCCCATCCAAACCAAGTACTGTCCTCCAGATTCTCTTCCTATCCAAACCAAATACAGTCCTTCATTTTCCCCTCCGACCCAAACCAACCAATTTCAGTCCTCCAGATTCTCTTCCCACCAAACAAACCACCAACCAAGTACAGTCCTCCATATTCTATTCCCACCCATACCAACCAAGTACAGTCCTCCATATATATTCTATTCCCACCCAAACAACCCACCAACCAAGTACAGTCCTCCAAATTCTCTTCCCACCCCAACCAACCAAATTCAGTCCTCCAGATTCTCTTCCCACCCGAACAAACCACCAACCAAGTACAGTCCTTCAAATTCTCTTCCCACCCCAACCAAGAACAGTCCTCCTATTCTCTTCCCACCCAAACCAACCAAGTACAGGCCTCCAGATTCTCTTTCCACCCAAACCAAATTCAGTCCTCCAGATTCTCTTCCCACACAAACCAACCAAGTACAGTCCTCCAAATTCTCTTCCTCACAAACCAACCAAGTACAGTCCTCCAGATTCTCTTCCCATCCAAACCAAGTACAGTCCTCCAGATTCTCTTCCCACCCAAACAAACCAACAACCAAGTACAGTCCTTCAAATTCTCTTCCAACCCAAACCAAGCACAGTCCTCCAAATTCTCTTCCTCACAAACCAACCAAGTACAGTCCTCCAGATTCTCTTCCCACACAAACCAAGTACAGTCCTCCATATTCTCTTCCCATCCAAACCAAGTACAGTCCTCCAGATTCTCTTCCCATCCAAACCAAGTACAGTCTTCCAGATTCTCTTCCCACCCAAACAAACCACCAACCAAGTACAGTCCTCCAGATTCTCTTTCCACCCAAACAAACCACCAACCAAATTCAGTCCTCCAGATTCTCTTCCCACCAAACAAACCACCAACCAAGTACAGTCCTCCAGATTCTCTTCCCACCCCAACCAAGTACAGTCCTTCAGATTCTCTTCCCATCCAAACCGAGTACTNTCTTCCTCACAAACCAACCAAGTACAGTCCTTCAAATTCTCTTTCCACCCAAACCAAGTACAGGCCTCCAGATTCTATTCCCATTTAAACCAACCAAGTACAGTCCTTCAAATTCTCTTCCAACCCAAACCAAGTACAGTCCTCCAAATTCTCTTCCTCACAAACCAACCAAGTACAGTCCTCCAGATTCTCTTCCCACACAAACCAAGTACAGTCCTCCATATTCTCTTCCCACCCAAACCAAACAAATACAGTCCTCCAGATTCTCTTCCCACACAAACCAACCAAGTACAGTCCTCCAAATTCTCTTCTCTCACAAACAAACCCCTCCAAATTCTCTTTCCTCACAAACAAAACAAGTACAGTTGTCCAGATTCTTTTCCCACACAAAAAAACCAAGTTCAATCCTCCAGATTCTATTCCCACACAAACCAACCAAGTACAGTCCTCCAAATTCTCTTCTCTCACAAACAAACCCCTCCAAATTATCTTCCCTCACAAACAAACCAAGTACAGTCGTCCAGATTCTTTTCCCACACAAACAAACCAAGTTCAATCCTTCAGATTCTATTCCCATTCAAACCAACCACCAACCAAGTACAGTCGTCCATATTCTTTCTCCACACAAACAAACCAAGTACAGTCCTCCAAATTCTCTTCTCTCACAAACAAACCCCTCCAAATTATCTTCCCTCACAAACAAACCAAGTACAGTCGTCCAGATTCTTTTCCCACACAAACAAACCAAGTTCAATCCTTCAGATTCTATTCCCACCCAAACAAACCACCAACCAAGTACAGTCCTCCAAATTCTCCTCCCACCCAAACCAATCAAGTACAATCTTCCACCCAAACGAACATGGTGAAGTACAGTCCTCCCGTCTCACTTCCCGCCCAAACCTAGTACCATCCTCCAGATTCATTTCCCACCCAAACAAACAGTATAGGCACTATATATAGTGATAGAAATGTAATAGCATATTAGTATTACAAAAAGGAAGGAAGTAGTAAAAGGAATTTGTGCATTCGCTGGGGATTAAACCTGAGATCCCAAATTTTCTAGTCGGACACTCTACGGATAAACTAAAGGAAACATCTGTGACAGCTGTGACATAAAAATGCCATAAATGTACAATGTATACATGTACTTTACATAGGCCTCCTCCCCAATTTTTCCAAGTCTTTACCCTCAAATACATGTAACCACATTACATACCAGGTTCTTTTGTTCCCATCAAGGGTTCTCTGCCTTGAACAGGGAGGGTCAATGGAACCAGTTAGTAACCAAAGTAGTGAATTTGTATACGAGTTACTTCCCTTGCATACATGCATTTATCTCGATGTATTTCCATTCTTTGCACAATGCGATCGACTTGAAATTTTGCACGTAGTTAGGTAAGGGTACATATTATATGAACAGGAAGAAAGAGGAAAACATATTTCCTAAGCGTTTGAAAACCTCCCTGGACACTCCCTTGGCATTCAGTCATTCTCTGGTCACTTATTAGGGTCACCTAACTTTGAACTTGCATGTCATGTGTTTTAGTAGGAGAGGTCAAATACACGATGTCGTCTCTCTTCAGGTTCGTGCAAACCATGTAACGTTAATTTGTTTTAGACGTATGTACTTCACAAATGACATGTTTGCACATACCTGCACTGGATCAACCACAGGAGTTTCGTTACAAATGCACAACGTGTGTTTTCATACCGACTCGCTTTCCGCATACGTTTTCGTTCACGGGCACCGTAAGGTGATTTTCCGGGTAGTTTCGTACTAAAAACAAACATTAACACGCAATGTAATACACATTGATACAAGTGTAAAATCCTTACGCATATTTATGTTAGGGATGTTTTATTGTTTTAGGGCACCCTTGTATTGATTTATTATTCGTCCTCGATTTTCTATTGGATATGTTGGCCGACGGTCACGCACGTTCACAAAAACTGTGTGCATGCAGTTATAAATCAGCACAGTGCACTAAAAGTTCACTGATATAACACCGGATTAAAGTCACCAGTTCGATACATTCTACCCACACGGCGCGGAGACGCATGCTTGTGTCTTCGTTAGACTGGCTTTCGGTATTTTTTAATTAATATTATCCAAGTTTAGGGACTTGAGCAGGTCTATATACTGGAATGGAAGGGAGATAACTCGCGTCACTACCAACATTATAATATATATCCAATCTGATTAAAATCATATGTTACATGGCTTCGTTAACTTCGTACTACGCCTGAACGCCATGTAACAGATGATTTTAATCAGATTGCCATTAATTTAGTACTTGAGGTCATTGTCAAAAGTAATAAAGGTCAATGACTGTGACCTAATTTATTGTTACACACAATTTTCCAATTACAAAGTTTGATGTCCGTTCATAAAAGGCAAAATGAGATTTGCTCCTGAAATCTGTATTACAGTGTATTTTTGTGCTCGAGGTCAAGGTCAAATGTGAAATAGTGGTTACAGTGACCTCATTTAAGGGTGTGACAGTGTCTTCCTGTGATCTATCTATATACATTGTTTGATGCATACATTGCAACCATTATTTTAATACTTGAGGTTAAGGAAATAGGTCACTGTGACCTGGTTTTAGGACACAACACACCACCTTTCCATGATGAACCTATAGACAAAAAAGTGGCTGAGATAGACTCTGGAAACCACATTCAGCATTGACTTATTATATATAGCCCCGATTTCTATCTAAGCTGGGGTATAATAAAAAGTAATTAAAATATGTTCTTGAAATAGATCTGTCCTTTTCATAATAAAACAAAAACACAGAGGATGAGATATGATTCCTGCTTCTGGAACTTTTTGTTCATTTTTTATTCCAAAGTTTGTCTGGAGCATATACTTCGTTACTATCTATATATGTCTTTAATCTATATGCCACACTTGCTACACTTGTGTATCTCAGGACGGTATGATGACTTTATACGGTTGTTACTAAGATATTATAAATAATAAGGATTAATGGTTGTTAAATGATTAAGAGGAATTAAATAATAATACTGTATACAGGGAAACTTTCGCCCTTTGTCGGTCAAATCAATATTCGCCAAGTTTCAATTTCGCCCTTCACATTCAACATTGTGTATATAATGTTTACTAACGTTCACTGTAATGATGAAGTTCGCCCACATTACGGAGGACGAAAAAGGCAAAAATTAAACTGCAGCAAGAATTTCCTGGTATACAGTAGATTATAGAAGAATTATAAATAAAGAAACAGTGGTGATCCCAAACCTATTACTAAGTATGAAATTGCTGAACATGAAAAGATAAAGACACTGATGCTTCTAGGACTGTCCTGGGGGTCCAGCCCCACCCCATCAGACTTAATCCCTAGATGGGAACATCAGAACAACTGATCCCCGCCCTATTATCATACATGCAATTGCTAGGCTTGAAGAAATGATGTACACTTATGCTATATGGATTGGCTTTGGGGTCTTGCCTTGCCCCTCGATACTTACTCACTTGGTGCTGACATAGAAATAGTGAAATCCTGACCAAATAACGATGTATACAGTTTCTAAGGCTTACACAGATGAAGACACTTGCTTCTGGGATTTGCTCTGGGGTCTGGGCTCGTCCCAGGGGGCTTTAACTTCCTTGGTATAACATAGAAATAGTTGAAAATCCCAATCCCATAGCCATATATAGAAAACTGCTTGGCTAGACAAGACAACTAAACTTAATATGTCCTTGGTGTCATGTCTGTCCCTGAGGTTTAAGTCCTTGTTAAAGCTGATGTTTCCATCAAAATGATGAACATAATTCAGTATATATCAAGTTGAAGATAAAATTCCAGGTGATCTATAAAGGCATCTGGTCCTCTTGTAAATAAGGTTGCATCCTAACGATTCTGATCACTATTTTACGAGTTCACAATGATAAAATAGGAATCTTACAGATATTTTACCCTTAATTGTTTTTTCAGGGAGAATAGTGAGGAAAGATCAGATGAAATAAGCTTGAGTGAAGAAATTAATGAAGATGAAGAAAAAGAAGAGGAAGAAACTTCTGCTACACCCAATGTCCCAAGTTATGAAGCTTTTTCTGGTCACACAAATGACAAACAGTGCAACAGGACAATGCTGCCATCGGAAAACTTGGACGACGTTTTCTCATCTATAAAATTTGGACGCTTCCATATCAAGATGATGATTCTCACATGTCATGGATATTTTGCAGTGTGTTCAGAAATGATGCTTATCATATTTTTGACAGATCCTTTGAAGAAAGAATGGAATGTACCAAACATGGTTTATCCATGGTTTCTAGCTTGTGGTGGAGTTGGAGGGATACTTGGTGGAGTAGTCATAGGCATTGTTAGTGACAAATATGGAAGACGAATTCCCTTCTTGATAAGTGTTTTTATATTAGCCGTGTTTGCAGGTATTGCCCCCTTTGTGAACAGCTTCCCCCTATTTGTGTTTGTCAGGACGTTGATTTCTGTGGGAGAAGGAGGACTTGGAGCCCTTGTTTATGTACAGCTTCTGGGTAAGGTTTTCATTACATACAACTACTGGGTTAAGTTTTCATAACATACAATTACTGGGTTAGGTTTTTATAACATACAACTACTGAGTAAGGTTTTCATTACATACAACTGCTGGGTAAGGTTTTCATTACATACAGCTACTGGGTAAGGTTCTCATTACATACAACTACTGTGTAAGGTTTTCATTACATACAACTACTGGGTAAGGTTTTCATAACATGCAAGTTTACTGGGTTAGGTTTTCATAACATACAACTATTGGGTAAGGTTTTCATTACATACAATTACTGGGTAAGGTTTTCATTACATACAACTGCTGGGTAAGGTTTGTATTACATACAACTACTGGGTAAGGTTTGCATTACATACAACTACTGGGTAAAGTTTTCATAACATACAACTACTGGGTTAAGTTTTCATTACCTACAACTACTGGGAAAGGTTTTCATTACATACAACTGCTGGGTATCTGAGTAAGGTTTTCATTACATACAACTTGTGGGTTAAGTTTTCATTACATACAACTGCTGGGTTAAGTTTTCATTACATACAACTATTGGGTAAGGTTTTCATTCCATACAATTACTGGGTAAGGTTTTCATAACATACAACTACTAGGTAAGGTTTTCATGACATAAAACTACTGGGTTAAGTTTTCATTACATACAATTACTGGGTAAGATTTTCATTACATACAACTATTGGGTAAGGTTCTCACTACATACAACTTCTGGGTAGAGGTCCAGTGACATTTAATTCCTGACGAAGGGCTAAGCCCGAAAGCTTGGAAAAGAGTGACTTACAAGTTCATTAATACTGTGTAGGGTTTTCATTACATACAACTACTGGGCAAAGTTTTCATAACATACAACTACTGGGTTAAGTTTTCATTGCATACAACTATTGGGTAAGGTTTTCATTACATACAATTGTTAGGTAAGGTTATCATTACATACAACTGCTGGGTAAGGTTTGTATTACATACAACTACTGGGTAAGGTTTCCATTACATACAATTACTGGGTAAGGTTCTCACTACATACAACTTCTGGGTAGAGGTCCAGTGACATTTAATTCCTGACGAAGGGCTAAGCCCGAAAGCTTGGAAAAGAGTGACTTACAAGTTCATTAATACTGTGTAGGGTTTTCATTACATACAACTACTGGGCAAAGTTTTCATAACATACAACTACTGGGTTAAGTTTTCATTGCATACAACTATTGGGTAAGGTTTTCATTACATACGATTACTGAGTAAGGTTTTCATTACATACAACTGCTGGGTAAGGTTTTCATTACATAAAACTACTGGGTTAAGTTTTCATTACCTACAACTACTGGGAAAGGTTTTCATTACATACAACTGCTGGGTATCTGAGTAAGGTTTTCATTACATACAACTACTTGGGAAGGTTTTCATTACATACAACTATTGGTTAAGGTTTTCATTACATACAACTTGTGGGTTAAGTTTTCATTACATACAACTACTGGGTATGGTTTTCATTACATACAACGACTGGGTAAGGTTTTCATTACATACAACTTTTGGGTAAGGTTTTCATTACATACAACTTTTGGGTAAGGTTTTCATTACATACAACTAGTAGGTAAGGTTTTCATTACATACAACTACTGGGCAAAGTTTTCATAACATACAACTACTGGGTTAAGTTTTCATAACATACAATTACTGGGTTAGGTTTTTATAACATACACCTACTGAGTTAGGTTTTCATTACATACAATTACTGGGTAAGATTTTCATTACATACAACTATTGGGAAAGGTTCTCATTACATACAACTGCTGGGTAAGGTTTCCATTACATACAACTACTGGGTAAGGTTTCCATTACATACAATTACTGGGTAAGGTTTGCATTACATACAACTACTGGGTAAGGTTTCCATTACATACAATTACTGGGTAAGGTTCTCACTACATACAACTTCTGGGTAGAGGTCCAGTGACATTTAATTCCTGACGAAGGGCTAAGCCCGAAAGCTTGGAAAAGAGAGAATTACAAGTTCATTAATACTGTGTAGGGTTTTCATTACATACAACTACTGGGTAAAGTTTTCATAACATACAACTACTGGGTTAAGTTTTCATAACATACAATTACTGGGTTAGGTTTTTATAACATACACCTACTGAGTTAGGTTTTCATTACATACAATTACTGGGTTAAGTTTTCATTACATACAACTGCTGGGTTAAGTTTTTCATTACATACCACTACTGGGTAAGGGTTTCATTACATACAACTACTTGGTAAGTTTTTCATTACATACAATTACTGGGTAAGATTTTCATTACATACAACTATTGGGTAAGGTTCTCACTACATACAACTTCTGGGTAGAGGTCCAGTGACATTTAATTCCTGACGAAGGGCTAAGCCCGAAAGCTTGGAAAAGAGAGAATTACAAGTTCATTAATACTGTGTAGGGTTTTCATTACATACAACTACTGGGTTCAGTTTTCATTGCATACAACTATTGGGTAAGGTTTTCATTCCATACAATTACTGGGTAAGGTTTTCATTAATACAAGCACTGGGAAAGGTTTTCATAACATACAACTACTGAGAAAGGTTTTCATTACATACGATTACTGAGTAAGGTTTTCATTACATACAACTACTGGGCAAAGTTTTCATAACATACAACTACTGGGTTAAGTTTTCATTACCTACAACTACTGGGAAAGGTTTTCATTACATACAACTATTGGGTTAAGTTTTCATTACCTACAACTACTGGGAAAGGTTTTCATTACATACAACTGCTGGGTATGGTTTTCATAACATACAACTACTGAGTAAGGTTTTCATTACATACGATTACTGAGTAAGGTTTTCATTACATACAATTACTGGGTAAGGTTTGCATTACATACAACTACTGGGTAAGGTTTTCATAACATACAACTACTGAGTAAGGTTTTCATTACATACAATTACTGGGTAAGGTTTTCATTACATACAACTGCTGGGTTAAGTTTTCATTACATACAACTGCTGGGTTAAGTTTTTCATTACATACCACTACTGGGTAAGGTTTTCATTACATACAACTACTGAGTAAGGTTTTCATAACATACAACTACTGAGTAAGGTTTTCATTACATACAATTGCTGGGTAAGGTTTTCATTACATACAACTACTGGGTAAGGTTCTCATTACATACAATTGTTAGGTAAGGTTTTCATTACATACAATTACTGGGTAAGGTTTGCATTACATTCAACTACTGGGTAAGGTTTTCATAACATACAACTACTAGGTAAGGTTTTCATTACATACAACTACTGGGTTCAGGTTTCATTACATACAATTACTGGGTAAGGTTTTCATTAATACAACTACTGGGTAAGGTTTTCATAACATACAACTACTAGGTAAGGTTTTCATTACATACAACTACTGGGTTCAGGTTTCATTACATACAATTACTGGGTAAGGTTTTCATTACATACAACTGTTGGGTAAGGTTCTCATTACATTCAATTGTTAGGTAAGGTTTTCATTACATACAACTGCTGGGTATGGTTTTCATTACATACAACTACTGGGTATGGTTTTCATTACATACAACTACTGGGTAAGGTGTTCATTACATACAACTACTGGGTAAGGTTTGCATTACATACAACTACTGGGTTAAGTTTTCATTACATACAACTACTGGCTAAGGTTTTCATTACATACAACTACTGGGTTAAGTTTTCATTACATACAATTACCGGGTAAGGTTTTCATTACATACAATTGTTAGGTAAGGTTTTCATTACATACAACTGCTGTGTATGGTTTTCATTACATACAACTACTGGGTTAAGTTTTTCATTACATACCACTACTGGGTAAGGTTTTCATTACATACAACTACTGGCTAAGGTTTTCATTACATACAACTACTTGGTAAGTTTTTCATTACATACAACTGCTGGGGTAAGTTTTTCATTACATACCACTACTGGGGAAGGTTTTCATTACATACAATTGTTAGGTAAGGTTTTCATTACATACAATTACTGAGTAAGGTTTTCATTACATACAACTACTTGGTAAGTTTTTCATTACATACAACTGCTGGGGAAGGTTTGCATTACATACAACTGCTGGGTAAGGTTTGCATTACATACAACTGCTGGGTAAGGTTTCCATTACATACAGCTACTGGGTAAGGTTTTCATTACATACAACTTCTGGGTAAGGTTTTCATTACATACAACTGCTGGGTAAGGTTTTCTTTAACATAAAACTCAAAACCTTGGTTATTTATTTATAATAGCGATATGTACAAAACAGTTTGGTAAGATTATCAGTTCTCCACATAAGACTGAAGTGTCTTTCATTTTGTTCAAAATTTCCCTTTCATCCCCTAGGGTCTCATTTCTCTGTCAATCCGTAGGGTCTGATTTCTCTTTCACCTCCTAGGGTATGACAGCTCGCATGTAGAAGGAAGTATTAATACTTTGACGTCAAGGAAACAATCAGATAAGACGTCATAATCAGCTTTTGACAGGAGAGGTAACACACAGATTATAAGTGCTGAAAACAATTTTGTTTAACATAGTATTGGAGTGAGTGGAGACAAATAATCATCCCCTACATTAAGCTCAAGGTGTAACATAGAAATCTCCAACTCTTAGCGTGATTATTTGATTGTCTCACCCTCAGCAAAGTCTCGGGTTAGACAACCAAATAAACCACCCTGACGGTTGGAGATTCCTTTGTCACACCCTCAACGTAGGGTACGATTCTATTAAACCTTGATTCATGTACAAGTGCTGGATAAGATGATCAAAATCCCAATTTTAATTTTCTTATCCTTTTTTTAAGTGTTGATATAAGGAATGACTTCTCATATTTTCAGAATTCCTCCCGAGAAAGAATCGTGGCAGCTGTTTGGTAACCATCACCCTGAGTGGCACTATGGGAGCCGTATACGCGTCAGCAATGGCCTGGTGGCTTCTATCGCAGTACGGCTGGCGGGTATTCATGGGAGCATGTGCTATTCCCACAGTAATACAGATTCCTGTTAGCCTGGCGTTGATCAAGGAATCCCCTCGCTTCCTGTTTGTGAGTGGAAGGAAAGAAGCTGGAATTGCTGTACTGAAAGAAATGGCCCGACAGAACAAGACGCAGCTGCATACAGGTAAAAAGTGTCATAAAAAGTGACATCATATGCGATTGGCTATAAGCAAAAACTTAGGTCTAAGATTGTTTTATGATCCCGGGGCCAGGATTTAAATCCTGAGACCTGATCCCAATATCATTGCTTTAACCAGAATTGCTAAATAGTCAGCAACAGGTTACAAGTTCCCTGGCACAGTCCCACTGCAGTTATAGCCAAAACGAAATTAAGGGGAGGTAACTGTGTGTATGAAAACTACAGAACTTTGAATTCTCTAGTGGGTTTTTTTCTGTAAAGGGATAGGGATGCTTAATGTCAATATAAAATTTGTGTCATGTATTTATTTCATTTTATTTACTAATGATGATGTAATCATATTTAGATCAACTTTTTAACAACTTTTGCCCTTAAAATAATGCATAAACATTGAATGAGTACTTTCAAAAACCCTGTAATTTTGAGATAGCTAGGTAGGCTATCACATAAATGGATGTATTGTTTTCTAGGCAAATCTTATAATGTGGAATTAAGTGGAATCATGACGTAAAAAATCAGATTTGGGTCTCATCAACAGTAGGTCTAAGCCCTGTTTACATGGGACCTCCCATCGGGTAAATGAATGTCCGACTATTTGTTTATTGATTTCGGAAACTCTAAGGTGTGCAGTCTTCTGACCGAGTAACTGATTAATGGCTAACCGTTGACAACCCTAATATAAATAATTTACAACACAGTACATACCAGTCTTGTAATTCTATACAAATCATTCTGAAGACCTTTTATATTTATATTACAGTGGACATTGACTGCCCTACCAGTGAGAACCGTGGCCGTATGTGTGACCTTCTGAAACCGGCCCTGCGAGGTCGTACTCTGGTGATCTCCGCAATCTGGCTACTTCAGTGTATCGGATACTGGGGTGTCACTCTGTTCCTGCCCGAGTACATGCATTCTGTGGGAATGGACCCTTACCTAAACACCTTCAGTGTTTTTCTCGCACAGATACCAGGCATGTTCTTTGCAATTATCAACATAGAAACACACATGCTTGGTCGCATACGCTGTCTCCGAGTCTTCTCCTTTTTTACATGTCTATCGCTCGTGTTGTTTGCTTTTATCGACGATGTTGCCGTTAAAACTGTGACTGTGATGGTATGCTACTTCTTCATGGTACCAGTGTTTTCTATCCTAAACACCCTCACAGCGGAAATGTATCCCACGGAGATCAGAACCACGGCCTTGGCTTTTGTCTCTGTGCTGATTGGTCTTCCGAGTTTGTTTACGCCATTCCTTAGTGCAGGTGTACTTTTCAGCGGTGTGCTATGGCTGTACCCTCTAGTATGGAGTGCATGCTTCCTAGTCCAAACATTTCTTACCTTCTTCCTATATTGGGAAACAGCAGGAAAGAAATTAGACAATCATTAAATAACCACATGATTTTTTTTCGAAGGGTTTTACGTCCTAGCCTTTGTCATAACATGTTTTGAGGAAATGAAAAGTTAATTGGTGAAGAATATTCCCAAGTTAATCACAAACATGCTGACTCAAAAATGTTTAAACAGCTAATGTTTGTTTCGATGTTTTGCCTAACCTGCATATTAAATGTTTTGACAGCCTTATAATAATATACAGATTGATTACAGTAATGATGAAAGACTACAAGGAAAAGCTTTATCAAAACCTGTAACCAGAGCCTGCCTAATTTATTTTTGAACAAATACCAATTAACCTCTTATCAGCCCCAAAAATATAAAGAGTACACAGCTAACAAAAGTGTATATAACCCAAAGCTACTCTTCTTCAGCGAGTACGGACAGTATAATGAAACCTGTCTATTCCAATACCCGTGAGATTCAACAAAATGTTCATATTAGACAGGGTGTCTGGATATAAAGGTTTGAATTGGAATTTTCTGCAAGAACTTGGTTAACATGTCAGAATCACATAATATTTTTATCCAACAGAATGTCGTAGTATTAGTGGGGTTGAAGTTGACAGGTTTTACTGGTTAAAAAGGTTTTATTTTGTATTTTCTACAAGAAATGGGGTATAATATCAGAATATCACATATGTAACAGAATATCGGAATAAGTGGGGTTGGAGTGGACATGTGTACCTGTATTGGGTAGTATTACTGAGGAATTGGCCATTTGTTTGCATATATATATAGGGCTGCAACGATGTATTGCAATATTCTAAATACGATACAATACACAATATTTTTTAGCAGGTCATTTTGTCGTTTCTGAATTCAGTCTATTCAAATCCGTTCCCACATAGCCAGTGACAGCTCCTGCTCGGCATGCACGTCAAAATACGGGAATTGTGTGAACCTTTAAAATCATGCCCATTTTAGACCAAGTCTATTTCCAGTTGTAATATAGCCATTAAAATTTGCAACATTACTTTCCTCATTGCTTCTATTATTACTATATGTATGGTATTGTGACTACAATAACGTGATACAATATATCATATCTTTGTGTTAATGTATCGTTGTAACCCTAATATAGATTGACTCGAGATGAAATGATCTGATAACCAGAATGATTTGTTCTGTTCGCATGTGCAAATTCTAATTATAAATTCATGCATACTTGTAGAAGTCTTGTTTGAATATGAAATTTGTTAAGTGGAGAACAAAAATTAATTCAAGCACCTGTGCACTGAGTCCAGGAGATTTAAATCAACTAGAGGATTGTCCATCTATATTTACATGTACATGTATTACACAGATATTTTTTCATACAAAAGATGAAGGAAGGGGACTATAGGTTTAATTTTGTACAATTTACTGTACTTTTGATAGAAGTTTTTATTAGAATTTATTAGTATGAATCATTTTCTAAACTGTTGAGTTTGTTTTGTAATTTAGACAAGTGTGTATGAAGAAAAATGTATTTGATACATCAAATGTATTATGTATCATTTTCTGAATACTATAAAGATTGTTCTGTTGAAAAAGAAGTGTTTTGGGGTGATATGTTCAGACAGCTATAAAACTAAAATGACTGCCAAAAACCGAAACGAAATGTTGGAAACCTCTTTTTTCGGCATGACTATAGCTTTGATAATCGTTTCTGAACATGAAAACCACACCTTGCGGGACTTTTATGAGAAATAATAAAGATGAAATAAACAATATATAATATGTTGAATGTAAAAAAAAAAAATTTGGGCTAGACTGGGATTTGAACCATTGACTTCAGATCATTATACTATTACACTAACTGACTGAGCTACCTAGTCATCTGAAGTGTCCTGGCCATGCGGCTACAATTATAAAAAAAAGTAAATATAAACTTCATTTATTTTACAACAATTATGAAACAAGTTATTTCAACTTATATTAATCACTCTTGTTGGCCCAGATGTTAGCGTGACGGGGTCTTAGTGTGGGAGGAAACCGGAGTACTCGGAGAAAACCCACATGGTGAGGCAGGTGATCCCAACCTTTTCACGTCCGATCGGGGAATCGAACCCCGGCCGCCTTGGTGAAAGGCAAGTGCGCTATCCACTGCACAACCCGACAACCCTAAAATAAAGTAAAGGGGAGATTACTGAATATAGGAAAAACCAGTGAAGTGGAACAGGGATCCTTAAGAATTTTTTTTATTAGATATTGGCAAATGTATTCATAATGTGCTGGAAACATAGTTCATTTAAAAATAGATTTAGTTCATCAGGTCATATTTACCTGAAGAGTCTATGTTCCAAGGGCGAGGGGTTGACACTGGTATCCAAGCAACAGTGTAAATTTGATTTGAAATCTGCTCAGTCAGTTTTACTCTCCCTTGTAATTAATAAATAGCTTACTTATGATTGTGAAAAGTAGCATTTTTAAACCATGAGTCATCCATGTGGTTCCCCGGTCAAGGTGGGAAGAAATTTCTGAACTCCATTTAGCTTGGAGCCTCCCTGGACCAGGGAATTTTTATAATGTTGAAGAAATGAAAGATTTGTTAAATGAAGACAGTGGCCACCAAGAGGATAGAAGGGTGTGGCCCTATATCGGAAATGGGAGGTACATGTATATCTTAAAATAGTACTTAAGGTTTGGTAGGAGAATTTGAATAGCAAGTAGTGTATACATGATTGAACCTGTAAATAAGGGTATACGTATACCTCTCCAGTGTAGCAGAGATGGTACACTCAAAAGGGGAACTCTGTAGTGTAACAAAAACTTCATAGATTATTTTCTCCAGTTCTTACATACCCTAAAATCTTGAAAATAAGCCAGGACTTATATTCATTTTAATTAAGTAATCCCAGGCTTATTTTCGATATCATAAAGACCATAAGTCATCTATAGCCTATTTCCAGGCCCTTCATTTTTCACATGGAGAAATTAATTGTATACATTATTGAAATCAAAATTACTTTTTGTAACTTGTTGCAATTATAAATTATGTAATAAGAAAAATGTTTAGGACGACAGAAAATGTGGCTCTTACCCCTGGAATCAAATCCATATATTCAAGTCAGTCCTATTTTCAAAAACGGCTTATTTTCGAGATGCCATTCATTGTAATGAATCCAAGCTTAAGGCTTTCAGAGTCTACCTATTTTCAAATCAGGCTCATTATCAAGAATATAGAGTAAACCGATTGAGCATCTCATGACCAGCTATTAATCTGGCTGTTTTGAAATCTAACATAACCGTCTTGATCTTTGACTGGCTGAAACCCTTTTAAATTATTAACAATTTCCATACGCACAATTTTAATGACTAATTCACATAGACCAACAGCCTCTGATTGGCTGACATTTTTTTGTTTTGTTTTGTTTTAACAAATGTTCACCTCACCCCATCATTCCATTAATTAAGTAACTTTACATTTTGCCCTGGGATGCTCCATGAACCCAGAGGAATCTTGGTGCCCACAGTTGCAAGGTTCTACATCTCCTGGAATATGAAGCTGCAGTAACTGAATGTCAAATTAGATAGGAAAGGAAGAAACAATTTGATATGGCAGTTGGCTGTTCGACTGTGTTTCACACAAGACGGAACCACATGGATCTATGTTGTTTTCGATTTATAAAGGGGGTTGATACTGACACAAGAGGCAGAATGTGTAGCTGGAGGGAGAATTTCTAGAGCAGTACATGACTTGTCACTACGGCTAGCAACCGTGAGCTGCTAATTGGTCGTTTTTGGTTGTTTGAACAATTTCTTGTGTTGCTTCAATACAAAATTTTAATGTAGAATTTAATCGTGTGGTATCTTCACAAAATCATACGCACAGGCAATGTTAATCTTGTCAAATTCATCGGCAAATGAAACGGGTTACATTTGGTAATTGCATTGAGTCCAACTTGAGAAGGAATTGAAATATTACTTCTATGCAAGTTCAATCGTCTCCCTTCCTTTCTCTTATCTGTTTGATTTATAGGCCTGTCAACAGTAAATGCTTCTTGTGATGTCTTTTTATGTTGATTAATTTTATACTGCTGTGTTTGTGAGTTTCCTTTCAAAGTGAGGTTGTTGCTTATTTCTCAAGAAATAGCAATAACAAACTTGAACTGTTAAAATCAAAGATGGGTAGCTGGTGGCCATCTTAATTTCTCCAGTCTTAAAATCAAACTTGCATATAGACTATGGACCATGGGAAGACTCAATATAGAATTTGAGAAAGATCTGTAGGGCACTTCTAGAGAAATAGCTCTAATAACAAGAAATCCCAGAGGGAACTAGGGGCCACAATTGTACCATCTTCATTAGTTTATGTCAGTTTGATCTTTTCTCTTCTTTTCTCTTATCTGTTTGATCCAGCCATTTAACAGTAAATGCACTGTTTCACATATTTACTAGCACAGTTCTTTAAATTAAAGAGAATTAAATAGATCCGATCATTAAAATATCAGAAGTATCTCATTAGTACTTCTTGTGACCATCTTGTTTTTATGATGACTCTCCAAAGTAAACATGCACAACTACAGACCAGGGGGAACCTACATATCAAATTTGAGAAAATAGCGATAACAATCATTCACTATCAAATCCAAGATGGCCACCTGTTGGCCATTTTGTTTATCTGATCAGTCTCAAAAGTATACATGCACAACAACACACCAAGGTACCGGTACATACATATAAAAATTGAGAAAGATCCCTCAACAACTTCCAGATAAATAGCGATAAACGTTCACTGTGAATATCCAAGATGGCCGCCCGTTGCCCATTTTGTTTATCTGATCAGTCTCAAAAGTAAACATGGAGCACAACAACAGACGAAGGGTACATACATAAAAAAATTGAGAAAGATCCCTCAAAAAATCCAAGATGGCCGTCTGTCAGCCATTTTGATTATCCGATCAGTCAGAAAAGGAAACATGCACAACAACAGACTAAGGGAATCCTTCATATCAAATTTGCGAAAGATCCTTCCAAAACTTCCTAAGAAATAGCAATAACAAACAGTCACTGTTAAAATCCAAGATGGACACCTTTTGGCCATCTTGTTTATACGATCAGTCTCAAAAGTAAATATGCACAACTTTGGACCAAGAGGAACCTTCATATCAAATTTGATAAAGATCTAATTTCTCAGAAATAGGGATAACAAGAATTGTTAATGGACGGACGGACGGACCACGGGCCAATTGTTAAGCCCACCATCAGATACATGATTGTGGGCTAAAAATTGTGCTCTAAAAATCCAAGGTAGTCATTTTGTTTTTCAGATTAGTCCCAAACTCAAACCTGAACAACAGATATGGACCATGGGGAACTTATATAAAAAATTTGCGAATGATCTGTTCATAACTTTTGAGAACAAGAGATCCCACAGGGATCTTGGCGCCCACCATTGTACCACAATCTTCATTAGTTTTATGTCAGTTCAATTTTTTCTCTTCTCTGTTTGCCTGTCCGCCATCTTAATCAATATTTTTATCAACCTAAAAGTTAACATTCACAACTCAGGACCAAGGGGAACCTACTTATCAAATTTGAGAAGAATTGCTCTGCTAAATTTTGAGAAATAGCGATAACAAACTTAAACTGTAACAAGATTGCCGGCTGATATGATTTGATAAGCATAGCTAAAAACAAGAGGAACCCTTATTTGAAATTTGAGAAAGATCCCTCCAATACTTTTTGAGCAATAGGGCTAAAAAAACTTTTACTCCCATATTCAATATGACCATGGCAGCTGTCAGCCATCTTGGTTTTCCCCATCATTCCAAAAATTAGAAATGAGGAACTAGGAACCTTCATGTGAAATTTGAGAAAGACCCCTCCTGAACATTCTGAGAAATAACGCTAACAAAGTTTCATTCTCAAATTCAAGATGGCCGTCTGTCAGCCATCTTGGTTTTTCCTTCTGTCCCAGAATTTGATGTGTAATTATGGGAAACTTTCATGTGAAATTTGAGGAAGACCCCTCCAGAACTTTCTGAACAACAGCGTTAACAAACTAACTCTCAAACTCAAGATGGCTGCCTGTCGGCCATTTTGGTTTTGTGATCAGTCCCAAAAAACGATATGCATAACTAAGGATCATGGGGAACCTTCATGTGAAATTTGAGAAAGATCCTTCCAATAAGTTCTGGGAAATAGCACTAACAAACTTTAAGTCTCAAATTCAAGATGGTTTTGTGATCAGTCCCAAAAAACGATATGCATAACTAAGGACGATGGGGAACCTATATGTGAAATTTGAGAAATATCCCTCCGATACTTTATGAGAAATAGTGCAAACAAACTTTCATTCTCAAATTCTAGATGGCAGGCTCTCAGCCGTCTTGGTTCTGTAATCAGTCCCAAAATATGATATGAATAACTATGGGTCATGGGGAACCTTCATGTGAAATTTGAGAAAGATCCATCTGAATATTTTTTGAGAAATAGCACTAACAAGAATTGTTTAAGGACGAACAGACCACGGACGCAGGGTGATTTGAATAGCCCACAATTTGATGATGGGTGGTCTAAAAAGTGATAACAAGAACTGTTTAAAGATGGGCGGCAGATGGACCAGGGATGAAGGGCAATTGATCAGCCCACCACCACCTGATGATGGTGGACTAAAATCTGGTAACAAATAACACAACACATCTCTTGTAAAATCATTCAAAATGTATTTTCTAAAGAAAACAAACTCAAGAAAAATAAGTAAACTTTGCTCATTAAAATAAACTGATTTTAAAATTCTGCCATTGGTAGACAAACTGTAGACAAAATACAAGGCTCATCAGTTCTTTATATTATGTAAAATCAATGTCATTTAATTTGTAAAAAATATATGTTAACCTTGACAATGAGAACAAATGTTATTTGATGAATTCAGTGTTTATGTTAAGTTTGTTACATTGCAAATCAAATAATTAATGCAATGCAAAAATAACATTTTTCATGAAATTATTGATAAAAAACTGATCTTGTTTTAAAATAACTGAAGTGGACATGTTTAAAAGCAATAATATAATATCTATGTAAATATCGTTTCACTTATTATTTTTGAAATCAAACTTAACAAGTGCAAGGTAACATTATTTGAATTTAGCGCCTTCTCAGTACTAAAGGAAGGCTAGGAAGAGTTTGTAATTTGCACTCTTGCTTTGATGGAAATTGAGCTAAATGCCAAGTCTAACCCAAGACAGTGAAGCTGTTAATACAGATTCAAGTCACCTGCCTTTGTTATATGGTGCAGTACTTCTCCCAATCAGCATATGAAGTATGATAATGAAACGATTATTGCTATCAGAGTTTTTGAGCTGAACCTAGTGCATAAGCAAGATTTTGTATATCGATAGGCAAACACATGCCCCCTTCCACATGCTGAGAGATGAAAAAGTCAACAGATTTCTGATGTTAAAAATGGAAAGTTATTTTTCAATTTAAGATAACAAATCATTAACATAATTATATGATACAGCTGCGGATGAATAGGAAACAAAGAAAATCAAGAATGCTAGCAGAAATAAGATTCTTTGTCTTTAGTTCACAGCAGATGAAAATAATACCGATTAAAAATACAATAAAATATCTCAAATGAAGGCAATTTTTGAGATCTTTAGAATTAAAAATACAAAACATTCTTAAATTTTAATTTACAACAAATAAATAATTCTGCCATATTATTCTGGGAATTGTAGGAAAATAAATTAATAGGTACATTTTATACCGGTAATTCCTTTTACACATTTCTTCAGATAAAATAACTTTAAAACATTCTTTAAGCATAACATAGCATAACATTCACTCCTGTCTCTCATAAACAAAACATACATGTCTGCAAACAATGATATATACCATATGCATAAATCAAGCCATTTCCTTTCAAAACAAATCCAGATCTCTGATAAGACAATTAAAATGTATAAATATCTTTAAAATTAACTTGGTGAACTACTTCTTCAAAGAGAATATTTAATTCAAAATAGAGCTGCTTCTTTAATCATGTATATGTATAAACATAACCTTACACAAAATTGGTAAAATGATCGTTTGTATAGATGAATGCAATGATTTTATTAACACTGAAAAATATGATTCATTTGAGATTCAAGTAACAGGATATTACCGGATTACTTCCCTTTGATGCGCTAATTCTGGGGCTTACTTGTTTATGTGGAACAACCAGTTTTCAAATGTGACATGTTCGGGTATAAACCCTTTTGGACCTTCAAATGTTTATGCAAGGCCTTGCAAGGCTTTGTCAAAGCTAGTCTGAAGCACCATCAGATTACTTGGTTAGACAATATTTCATAAATGATCAACTCTGGTCCAACAGGTAAACTAAAAACTAAAAATAAACTAAAGCGGCCTAGTGTTTATTATTTCATCAGGGGATGTAATCCAGTAGTCTTCCACTTCTTTTGGACAAAACAGCAAGGAATCAATGGATAAAATATAAAATGGTGATATTTGAAAAAATAATTAAATTAAGGTTTTTAAATGTATGTTTGATGACACTGATGAATTTCCCAAAACGCTGCAGATCATTCTACTTTCTCATGTAACTAGGTGTTAGTATGCTTTCTAATATTTCATTCAGTTTTATATGTACAACTTGATAGTTTGTGGGTACTTGTTACTTAAATTAACACAGACACATAAATTCTTACCAAAATACAAGTGATATTCTGTGCTAATCTCTCCACATGTGGCGTTAATTGTGGCCATTTCATTGTAATGTTATATCTACTTTAATGTACATGCACATTGATGTGATTATGACCTGCACACACACACAAACTGCAACCTTTATACAAGAATTTCTTGAAATAAACACATTTTTAACTGAAAACCTAAAAATATGAAATATACACTTGTAGGTATGTGTGTTCTTGTAAAATGATGAGGAACAATGTCTGTCTGGTGAGGATTATGTGTCTTATGTATAGTCATTGGCTGATGATCTAGTATAATCGAACATTGATTGGCTTGCCCTTTAAGATTCCGATTATCAATTAAAAATTCCATAACAATATATTCAGTTCATTATTGAAATCAAAGCGTCAAATGAATACAATCTAAATTATGCATTGAAAGTCATTCATTTCTAAAAAAATTACTATATGATTGACAAAACTGCATAAAAGTTGCTTGAAATCCATTCATTATAAAAGAATGAAATCTTATGACATTGTATAGTTTACAACTCTGTCTATTGATGGAACAGTATCGTTCTCACTTTATTTGGGTATTCAGTCCCATAAAATTATCAACCGATTATGCAATTGATCATCAATTGGTTTATTACTTCCGATTACAAACCGATTATCGATTATGATTTTAAACTGATTGCCCATCACCGCTTATTTAGAAGTATCAATGTCTGCCCAGTAGGGAGTATTTGTCTTCTGTCACTCCTGTAAATTTTGAAGAGCAATATCTGTCAAGTGGGGATAATAAGCATACAGAAGAACATCTATCAAGCGACGACTATCCTTTCGTAGTCAGAAGGCAAAATTATCTGACTGTTTCCCATCATCAGATGTGAATCAATCACAGCAATTTAATTTTTGTATTTTCTTCGGAATGTATGATATATTTCTCCTTTAAAACTGACTTTGTTTGATTTATTGATCGTTTGAGATATTGACGACAGTTTCCAGTGAACAAACCTACGTCAGACAAAAGCATCTTAATACATTTATGTGAACTGTAATACCAATGTTATACTGGTACCTTAAAACTAAAGATAAACAGGATACTCATACCTGACATTTTTTTTTATCCTCACAGAAACACCTAAATGTTCTACAAATATTTGATCATGATGTGACCTTGCACAAGGAGTATACAATTCTACAAGTCTGATGCCCAGGGATAGATTTGATCTGTTGGGACTTCAGAAAGTTTTACATGGAAAAAGTCAGTTGGGCTAAAAGAACTTTTCAAAACCAACCCTGAGGAGTAGTATTCTTAATATGAAATTGTACACCCCTTCACTCTTTACACATATAAATTGTACACACATATACTGTACACATATATAAACAGTCAGTAACAATTGGGTCAAGTAATATATACAACTTGCATATACATTTCTGTAAACACATTCAACATACAAAACACATTTATCTGTAAACCACTTCCTGTTCGTGATCAGGCAATATCAGCTGTCAATGTGCAAGAAGGTGGTGACTTAATATTGTTTCTCCTGCAACCACTATTATGGGTTTCCTCATATTTGGTCACCCATTACTGGGTACCAGATAATACCCTAGATGTGATTCCATTGGTCAATGTTTGCATTATGATGTCATGTGACAATTCTTTACTATGTCATTGTGATGTCACGATCAATGTCAATTGGTTCCCCAACAGAAACAGACATGTCAGATGTATTTAATTTCCTGATAAAATATTAACGTTGTGAGAGGAAAAGGTTTCCAAACCTGTGAGGGTTGGTTATCAATATCGTGTTTATCTAGCTCTAATTAGTTTAATTTCAAGTTATAAAAGACACTTAGTAAACCACATGTCTTTATACAATTTGGATATTAACTAAGTCAACTTAAATAAACATGAAAAACCAATCAGCACTCCTCATTGGAGAACCTCTATTAACCTCTATTTACCGTATTCCTACACACTCAGTTAAGAACTGTCAAATTCCTACACACTCAGTTACTCCAGAACTGTCAAATAATCTATGTGATAATGACTAAAATATTGTACATGTCATTCAATGTTTCTATATTTCATACAGAGCACAACAGCTGCATTTGATTATAAAACATGACAAAGTGTATTTTATCAAAAATCACACTGGGGTGTAAACATAAAAAATCCAATTTTAACGACAAATACCAAAATATGGAGACTTAAAAGCTGCACTTAATTGTGATTCACATTACGTATACGGTCACTAAGAAAGTGAAATCTACATCAATAGTAATCAGAAACGTAAGGTCTCATCTCCATCAATCCCTCCCAAGACGGCCGGCAGTAACACTTCACTTTACTTGATGGTTGATTTCTCTCTCCATCACTGAAATAAAAAATAAATAAATAATAATTACAATTTAATAAGTTTCATTATTTTTTTTTACCTGGTAATAACTACTGTTCATTCATGTCGTATTTTTCAAGTTGATTTGAGTTTTATTTGATTTGTAATCAGGATGCATAACTTTATTTCAAAAATTGGTTAATTTAATATTACTGTACATTAATTTCCCATTATATGCATTTAATATATAATAAAAGCACAAGTCTGGTTAGGAAAGTATAGTAAAACACCAAAGTTTAAGAAATGTTACATAATGTTCAAACATGAAACTGAAAACATGTAATTTATATGTGTAAATGATACAACTTATGAAAGACCTGTTTTTTACTTGGGTATTAAAACAGCTTGCTAATTAAATCTACTGGGTAGCTCTTGTTGCAAGCCCTTATGTAACACACACACAACATAACAGAAGATCGTGCATGGTCTAGATCTTACATTGGTAGCAAACCGATTAAAATATAATTAGCATCCTATTGCCAATAGCAATCAAATCATCAATCATGAAAAACTTTTAACTTATTCTGTTTGAAATACAAATTCATTTGAGGCATATATTCTCATACCTGAGTTTTTTTTATAAAGATTTATCACAATCTGTTCAGATCTGTTTTAAAGCTACAGTGAGGACACCAAATGGAGACAAGATCATTAAGATGTGACAAGACAGAGATACAAATAACACTACATAGTGAATGCCCCGGCATAAAATGGAAGAAGAAGCATAGAATTCAAAAATGTGAATTTACCATAAAAACTGTGTATTGGAGAAGGAACAGCCGGGACATCAATATTATGAATTGTAGAGGTAAACAAATCCACAAAGCACTGTATACCAGAATATTTTCATTCCACTACAATTTTTCAAAAATTTCCCTGAATATAGCTACTGGTACTACTTACATTACAAATAATGATCTTCACACCATGTTGAATTTTAATTCACATGCTTGTTAAAGGGTGAAATGGGTACACATTTCGTCAAGGGTTAAATAGGTCCAAATTTAACATTTTAGTTCTTTTATATCGAATGATACATACAGAGTTATCTGGAATAATATGTTAAAAAAGAAAAATGTTTTTTGAAAGTAGAGCCTAAATACGCCCCCCTCCCCCGGTAAGAATCCTTCAAGAAAGACATTGAAAAGAAATGTGAATGAAAATTTATCAAACACCTGCATATGAAAAAGGAAACTGATAGGTAATGAATGTCAATATTTAAACATCATTTCACTGCAACCATTCCCATGAGCTCCTGTGTATTTAGCAAAATATGAATATCTTATGAAATAGCAAACAAATGAATATTAAATGTCAATGTTATTACACAAAAACATGGATGACCAGCCCACACAAATGGCAGACACAGGCTGCAAGAATACCTGTGTGAAGCTGTTTCTACTGTTGTGCTCTGTGAACATGTCAAGAATGAAATTAAAGCACTTGTAACACTTGTTGTAGACGTAGGAAATTTAGAAGTTATATCGTTTCTCATAAATATAGTAATATCTTTGTCGATTGGTTTCAAATAAAAATGTTTGATTACAAATAAAATGAATGACTACAACAAAACTTTATTTTATTAATTTTTGAGACAGCACAAGAGTTTTGTTATACCCAATTTGAGACACTTAATGGGGCAAAACATTGAACCCAAAAACAAAATAACTCCCTGTTGTTTAAATCTTAAGCTGTATTATATTAATGCATTCACACGAAAAAAAACACCAATACATACTGAGACTTTGAATTTAACAAGAATATTTAGGAAAGTATGAGAAAAACTACACTGCAAAAAATTGGTCCACTGAAATAATTGAGATTTGTCTCTCAATTTTAAAAACCATAATGACAATGTATAACAATACTTACAAACAGTTTGAATTACACATTTCCAACTTGTACTGTTCAGGGTCTGGTACCCCGTCGGAATCCATTGAGCTGTATGCCATTTGTTCTTCAATGATATTGCCGCTTGTTCTGGAGTAAGTTTCTTCATTCAAATTCATTATCATACAATCATCCTGTTGACAGATGTATGCCAGTGAATGCCAAAATTTTTCCTTTTATTTAAAAAACATCTTTCATCAAGCAGTTTTATGCCTTAAAATTTATGGCAAACGGAGATTCCCAAAATCTAGATACACTTAAAAGAAATAACAAGGAATATGGAGTCATTTTCTAGGTTCTAAAACACTTTTACTTCCTTTGAAAGATATATTACAGTCTGATTTGTAATTATAATAAACAAACCTACATCTCCCTTTAGAAAATCTGTATCTCTGCTTTGCACTTGACTTATTTCACCATTGACTAAGATTAAATGAAGCTCAAAATGACATGGAAAAATTCCAGCCAAAATAAACTTTTACTTTATATTCTTTCAGCTTTAATGGTTTAAAAGTTAGGGGCCTGACAACATGTTTCTAGAAGAAAGAAAAGAAAGATAACCTGTACTATTTTGACATATATATATATATGTCTCCCCATCATTCAAATTTGAAGGGGGAAACATAGCAAGTATATTTTAAAAATGAGGCCTGAAAGCTTGCATAACAAAAACGCTACATGTATTGTCACTCACGTTGAATGGTTGTTGATGAGACTGCTCGTCCTGTATAGATTGTTGTGTTGGGAAGTTGACTTGCTGACTAGAGGACATATTGGCAACGACAGGCACACATTCATCATCTTCCTGCATCGCCGAGGTCATGACTAACGGGTTGATAAACATACTGTTTGATTGAGGATTTAAAGGCCAGCAACCCTGCAAAAGACGTTAAAAATCTTATATTAAAAACAAAGAGTTAACTTCATTTAAACATACATGACTGTGACCTTAAACTGTAAAAGAAATGTTTTAAATACTAAAGATTTATAAAGACCAGTGAACATCTCCATAAACCTTAAACCTTTAAATCTTAAATTCATCAACCTATTCTTTTTTATTATCATCTCCCAAAAACATTTTTTTTTCTGTACAAAAACACAGTTTTATTGAAACTGTTATTAAACTGTGAAATCAGATATTTCCATATATGGATATCAGTCAGTTTCGTTGGGGCCCAAATTTCATGGTTTCCCGAAAAACTATCATGTTATTTTGTTGGTATGTTAATTCGTGGGATATGAGTATCCACACACATGAAAAATTGCTTTATGTAAAATTTGTAATTACTATGTGGACCTATATGAATTTGTGGATGAAATCCATGAATATTACCCACAAAATCAACAAAATTTAAAACCCACAAAAAATTGTAAATTCACAATATTATCAGATGAAATGGTTCTGCTTTTAGAAACACATTGACAACCGACCTGTGGTTGTGATGGTTGGACGGACGGGATGTTGAGATTCTCTGAGGTAGACATATTGTGATTCACTTCTGCCATTACATCATCTCCTGAAGCTTCCATACATCTCCTCTTCCATACATTGTTTTCCATCTCCTTTGAAGAAAACAGATACAATTGATTCAACAATGAGACCAGCAAAATAAGAATCAACCAAGATTGGAGATCTTTTATTCTTGAAAGTTTTACACAAAACATATGTCTAAGCACTATTTAGGCCAAGAAAATGTATGTTTCAGGTAACATGACTAAAAAAATAGGGTAGGTGGGATTTAGAAAGAATATTTTTTTTTAGAAGAGTTTGTGAAAAGAAATTACGAAAATTATTTAAATTATTGAATTGGATTTAAATTTGTTTTTTATATACATGTACCTGCCTATGAAATAGAGTTGTCATCAAGACGCTTACGATTTTCAGCACGTTCAAATGGAATGTTTAAATTCATTTGAGTGAAATAAATTTGTTTGGATTCGAGGTAAGAACTAGAGTCAGTTGGGGTACCTTAATAAACCTGCATTTTTTTAGGGGGCCTAATGTATCATATGACTGAGCTCAAGATCTTGCTTAGAATAATTTCCTCTGTAACTTATAAAACCTATGTTCATAAAATTAAAATCTCTGCACAAATAAAAGCACATCTTCACCAGGCAGTGTTACGTTTTAATCTGAATTATAAAGGAGAGATATTGTTTGAATTCAAGTTTTCATAACAACAGTTTTTGAGTAATCATGATTGATTATATAATTACCTCTCCATTATTATTCTGACTTGGCACGACCCTGTCTGCATCACCAAAGCCTGGTGCTTTTCTTTTTTTAGGGTAGACTTCATGTATAACAGGTTGTTGTGTCTGGAGGTTCCAAGTAAAATCTGACAAAGGCATCTACAAAACGAAAAGCAAACAAACCCTTAATAATTTTTCTTAACTTGACAGGCCAATCAGCATTGAGCTCACATAGTGGATATAATGCATGGCTGACTTCATTTGGATCGTCAGCCTGGCCAGGTTGAAACCTGGACGTACAGGTGTTCGACATGATAATATAAAGGACAAGAACTGTCACACAATCAAGTCTTTCTCCATTCGCAGAAGCACAGATGAACGAACATTGAATAATGTACATGCTGTTTGTTTGGTTCTTATTACTAGAGGTTTAATTACCATGCCATCACCAGGACAGCACAGTTTGCTGACCAAATAAAATCTGACAGTTTTCCAGGTTTCCTCAACCCTTTCACCACTGTAGACCATAATGGACTCATCCATATCAGTGCATGGTAGAGTCTACTAAATTTACATATGGGTGAAAGGGTTAAGTCTACTGAAAAATATGTACAGCATGATATGACATAGAAATTAAATCATACTTCTGTAGTAGGAGTGGGAAAATGCATGGCCAGACCAGGGTTCGAACCCGGGACTCTCTGAACTCTAGACAGACACTCTACCAAATGAGCTGATGATCGACCAAGTCTAGTTCCACTGCATTCGTCTCTAGCTCCCTTAACAAATTCTTTGACTCTGAAGACACACAAGATCTAGCTATTCCACCTTCTGTGGGTATATTTTGTTGTAGGTGCTTAAAAATGCACAGCCAGACATGTGTTCAAACCTGTGACCATCCCTCTACACGGACGCCCTACCAAGGCAACTGAACTACATATACACCCAGTAGCGGACCCAGGGGTGTTGCCCTAGTTGCCCGGTCCAAAAATAAACTGGACCAAGGTTTTTGAAGTTTTTCCTTTATTTCATATGGGATTTCCTACTAATATCAACCATCCCCTTGAACTATGATTTTCTATGGCTTCTCCTTGCCAGCAGTTAGAATATCTATATATAAACAAGGAGACCAGTACTTATATTATTCTAAACAATAGGGGATTAATCCTCTATTGTCTATATATTAGTAGGGTCTCCATGGCCAGTCAGGTCAGTGGTCAAGGCTCACCGGACTGACTCTACCTAATCTTATATGAACAATAATGTCAAGGTGTGTGGTGATCACCCTGTCCGTTGGAATTGGGTAAAAGATGTATATATGTAAAGTGTTATTTCAAAGGTAGAGTCCATTTCATGATAGTCACATGTGGTTTCATGATGATGTACACATGATCACCAGGAGTAAATTATTATACCAATTAAAAAATATAAATTTCAAAAATTTCAAAGACAATAAAGCATGATGCACTTTATCAGGTGAATAATATCCAATGTTAGCATAAAAGCCTGACATGTATATCCTTTTCATTAGGTGTTGGCCTTGTACATATGTATGCGTACAAATCCACAATAAAAGACAAACTGTTAAATCATAATTCATATATATATGACAAAATAAATCAATATTTAATTGCCAAAATGCTCGCCTAAACTTATGACAAAATAAATCAATATTTAATTGCCAAAATGCTCGCCTAAACTACATGCACATGAAGGGCATGACACAATCATCAACATTTTAACCAAAAACCTACATTTTTACCATTGTTTTAGAAAATTTGTTAAAACTGGCTGCGCTCGGTCGTCATAAAATATGAATACTCTATGTTATAAAATATAACCTGGAATAATACCGCAAACTCAAAAAACTATTCTATATCTCACTCGATCTGTTGACCACAGAATTGCTATCTAAATCTGTGGTATTATATCTTCAGAAGAAAAAGAAAAACATTCAGAAGAGAAATTATAATTGTCACAATCTCAGAAATAATCAAGTTCTAGATATTTTTGGGTGCCAGAAAGTAGTATACATGTACAGCCGACATGAAAATTCTAATTTATTAGTTCTCTAGAGATAAGCGCAAAAATGTGTCTTTTTCTGAGTTTAAAATTTTGGGCAACACCAAAATTCANCCCCCCCCCCCCCCCACCCCGATACCTGGTCACTGACGATTGACCTAGTCCAGCTCTACTACACATCCAATTAAAGAGAAAAAAAAGTCTCGACAATTATAGACCGCTTTCAGCATTATATTATTAATAAAGTTGTCAGTCTCACCACAGAGATTATGTCAAAACCGTCATCATAATCATGCATGGCCTTCTAAGAATGAGTGTGGTGAGACTGACATGAAAACAGAACATTAGATGAAATACCTTAAATTAAATAAGGGTAAAAAGAGGTAGGCCTAGATCGGGGTCATAGACTGTCATGCTTCAGTGCACAAACACAGGTGGTGGGCAATTTTATTACACGGGTATGCAAAATCACAGGTGATGTTGCATAATCCAAGTAATCAAAGACTCCATACAGTTTTATACACATTATTCAAAATCGGGTTGGGGTATTTACCGAAATGGACCGGAATGGAGTTGAATTACCGAAATGGAGGGAAATGGACTTTAAATTGGCATTATTTCAAGAGAATGGACCCTAATTTACATTCTTCATCAACAACTGGAGTCATATGTAGAAGATTGGGCGTTTATTTTGTTTACATCTATTTTAAATTAATTTTTCAAAATAACACAATTCACGGCACGATTTTCGTTACCGAAATGGAGGGCAATGGGCCTTTAATTGGCATTATTTCGATAGAATGGACCCATATATGCATTCTTTATAACCCAATAGAGCTACATGTAACAGATAGGTAGTTAAATTTGACTGGAAATATTTTTATTTGTCATTTAAAGACGCGTAAAAGCCGAAACTCGCGGTACGATTTTCGATTGCGCTGCATTACCGAAACGGAGGGATATGGACCTTAAATACGCTCAATTTCAAGAGAATGGACCAAAATATACTTTCTTTGTAATTCATTGGAGATATATGTAAAATATCGAATGTTTATCTGTCCTGAAAGTATTTTTAATATTGTTTCTAAATTTGGGAAATGATATCGACAATATAGACAGAAGTAAAGAAAGAGACGGAACCGGAAAATCCGGATTTATTAGTTTTTCATGCATTTTGTGCTGTAGTTATGTAACATTTGATCAAAAATAAATTAACATAAAAAAACACAAACAATACCTTTTGAAATAATTGAGAATTAATTTAAGCAACGTATCACAAAGTTGCATAATACCCAATAATGTTGAAGTGTCACAATTTCAAGATATCAAATGCTGCATATTTCTTTACAAGATTACAATAATTTGCTAGCTTGTGAGTTCAATTACACCATAAATGATATATTATCAGTAAGTCACATTTTGACTTGATAGGAGTCAGATAGGCAAAAGGATGGATAGTGTTTCCTGTGTCAATTCTGTTACTTTGTGTCAAAATGTTATTTCTTAAAAAGTTGTTCAAATTAAAAGAATCTCTCACTCATTCCATGCTATTATGAACCAAACAATCTTATTTTATAATTATCTTATAAAATTATATTGTATCTTGTTCAAATCCTTATTTTTATTGCTTTAAAGACAAATGTGAAAGGTAGGGTCAACATTCGGCCCCCACTTCAATTTCTTCGGATAGCTGTAGTGAACTTCCTTGCATAACACTAGTTTGAGTGACAAAATTACAGATAAATGTCACAGGAGAATGTAATTCTGAAAATGAATTATGATAGTGTACAGTGTACTATTTTTTCATATTAGATATGTCATTTTGATACAGGAAGTAAGCGTGGTGATACTTTAATTAGAAAGACATACAAAATTTTCACAAAATTTAAAATGTATCCAATATTATCAACTTGCCTATATATAAAAATATGATGGTAGTGAATATATTTTATACTTCTTTAAAAACTTTCCTTATATGTGTTCTGTCTACAGGAACGTTTCTATATAAACTCAAAACCGTTAAAATAAGGTTTTTTTAGCATGCCTAACATGGCCAATGCACAATTTCACATAGTCATGAGGATTTGACTATCATTGTTAATTATTGTAAATACAGATACATTTTTCGTTTCTGTATCATACCAAAAAACTTCATTATATTATCATGTTTTTAAATTAATAAATTATGTGCAGCAGTGATTATTTCATATCTTTTACTCAAAGTAAATCGAGGAAAGATAATATATTTTAGCACATTTGATTTTTGTGACCTTGAACGAAGGTCAAGGTCACCAATGTTTATGAGCCATACAGGCCCTCTGGGCCTCTTGTTTAGTAATTGTGTCAATTAAATGCTCCTGGAGGACTTGTTTTTACCGCACCTTTAACACCCACACAGGTGTAAGTCAATGAGGTCCCATTTGTCATAAAATGAATGCTGAAACTGTTTCTGATTTAAGCTTCCGTGAAGTTCCTATACCTAAACTTTTTTATGTTTATCTTGTTTTGAAATTCCAAGGGGGGCCCCGATGTTAAATTTTCATAGGCGTTGACCCTACCTTTTAGAAACACTTCCTGATGATTGAAATATCAACAAGTAAAGAGATGTTGGTACAGTGTATTTCTACTACATTATAAAAAGTGATCAGCAAATTTTTTCAAGCATCAATATGCTTAAGTTAATACTTTCAAAATCAGACACATCTCTCACAGTAAAGTGAACTTACCATATGACTGTATTAAGGTTGGCAATATTAAATGCTATCACTATGATATTGCAATATCTGTTAATCATTATATATTGTGATTAATTCAACCGAGTACTTGGTCGTTTAGACACAGTTATACAATAACTTCAAAACAAAAGTTAAATGTTTTCAAATTTCAGCTTGCTTGGTTTAGTAACTTCAAAAATTGTATAAAATAATGTTTAATTTATCATTAAAAGTAAATGGACTGATGCTCACTTTTCCTTTAATAAGTTTATTCAATTGGAAATGATATATAATGCACTGAATTGCTAGGAACAGAATATATTATGTTTTGCAATATT